GGGTGGGAGTCCAGCCATTGTGCAGCAGCCCCTCCTTGGGGCTGAGAGAACACGGCCCCACATGCAGGCAGTACCCCTGCCTGTGCCCTCCTCGCCCCCTGGGAGCATGGTGCCCAGAACATTCCAGTGCCAGCAGACCTTGGTGGGAGGCTCCCTCTCAGGCTTCCCCGGAGCTGCGCCGGGAAGGGGTCGGGCAGGCCTGATGCTAACACTGTGCTACCTGATCACCCGCTGTGCCGGCAGCACCTGGTGGGCACCCAGGCCTAATGGGCAGGTAATGGGCTAGATCCAGGGCTGACCCTGCATCGGGAGGGGGCATCTGCAGAGCCAGCTGGGTGGGTTCTGGGCTGCAACTGGGATTAGCAGGGTCTCGGCCCCAGAAAAGGGAGTTGACATGGGAACGAGCCCTATTCTCTCGCTTCTATCCCACTGGCCCCTCCTCTGGGTGCAGACCCTGATCGGCCCACAGGAAAACCAGCAGGAAGCCTGCAACTCTCTCTTCACAGCAAGAAAATTGATACCCAGAAAAAGGAGAGCCCCTGAGGTGGCAGGGATCTCAGGCCTCCTCCCTCCCAGTCCAGTGCTTGTACACAGGAGCACGGGCCTTGGAGTGGGCGGCCAGATTCCAGCTCCTCTGGGGGCCCCCTGACCCTGCAGAGCCTCAGTTTCCCCACTGGACAGTGGGGCTTGTGGGTAGTACAGCATGTGGCCAGGAGAGGTTGTTACTAGGTGTGTGTGTGTGTGTGTGTGTGTGTGTGCATGCTTGTGCGCACTTGTCTTAGATCAGGCCTGGGACTTGTTCCGGGACTTTGGAATGTACCCTGCCCTGGACCTGATGTGGAGGTCTCCTCCAGTCAGGCGTGGCAGCCCCATTGCAAGTCAGCAGCCTGGCCAGGAGAAGCTGCCCGGGGTGCCCAGCACCAGCTGTCAAGGAACCCGGGCTCCAGGGGGAGGTGTGAGGTGGAAGTCCAGGGCTGAAACAGCGGGGAAGGTGGTGGGACCCTGCCTGGAGGTGCAGATGGCCATGGGCTTGCTGCCTGTCCTCTGACTAGGGAGTGGGGTCACCTAGTTGCTTCTCCCGGAAGACTCTAGGGACTGGGTGGGATGGCGGCTCCTGTCCCTGAGATTGTCCCCAAACAGGATGGGACTACAGACAGAGCCAGAGGTGAGGGGCTCCTGGGGGTTGGGGTGGCTGAGAGGTGTTTGGGGTCTGATTCCGGATAGGCAGGGTCAGCTGGCTGCAGCCCCTCCCCAGCGTGGGGCTCTTCCCAGCGGTCCCTGAGTCTGAGGCTGGCAGCCTAGAGCTCACGGTATTCCCTGGGCGCTAAGGTGAGCATCCAGGCTTAGCTCTGGCCTTGGCCCCTCTGGGGCAGCTGAGTCCCTGGGGATGGAGTGGCTGGGAGCAGGGCTCTGCAGAGGGTGTGGGGAGGGCAATTTCATGGGGTGGGTGCCTTCCACCTGCCCAGACCACCCCGGGAAGGGGCGCCTCACTGGACCCGAGTTGTGCCCACCTCCGCGGTGCTGGGCTCATGCTGCCCCCTCCGGCAGGAGTTTGAGAACGCAGAGGGTGATGAGTATGCGGCTGAGTGCTCCACGCAGGATTCCCCGGCAGCAGTGGCACAGAACGGGCCCGACGTGTATGTCCTGCCACTCACTGAGGTCTCCCTGCCCATGGCCAAGCAGCCGGGCCGCTCAGGTGAGTGGGCCCCTCCCTCATATCCTGAGGGTCAGCAGGCCTGGCCCTGGGGAAGCCCAGGAACCCAGCTCTGGAGGTGGGGACAGTAGAGGCTGGGGACACGTGGCTACTTGCAGGGTGCTGGCCCAGGGTCCGATGGATGCACCCCAGGCTGGGCCGTGTCTGAGGGTGCACACGCTCCTCTAGATCTGCGGGCCAGCTGTCAACAGGGTTGGGGACCTTCCACCTGCTACCTCCCCACTGAGAGGCTCCACTGCAGCAGATGCAGACTGGGTCGGTGGCCAGGCTCCGCAGACCTAAGATTGGCCACCTTTCTGTGCTGTCCCCAGATTCCTGCGTGCCCCAACTCTGCAGCAACATGGGCTCCACTGTGCCTGCCTACTCACTGAGGGGACCTTTTGGGGCTCCTCTGTGAGTGGAGCCAGAAATTGGGCTGGGGGACCCACTCAGTAGGTGCAGATACAGGCACAGGCGGGCCTCTTCCTGGGGCTCCCTTGGCTCAGGCCTGTCCTATATATGTCCTCCTTTTGTTCTCCTCCAGGGGTCCCTCCCATGATGCCAGCCGCCACGGGGAACCAGAGATAATGGTTCAGGCCCAAGACTCTGGAACCCCAGTTCTGTCCCAGATGGGGTGGGGTCCCAGGCCTCAGGTTCCCCCTGCCTGGAAGTTCTAGCCACAGCCTACCCCCTTTACTGCCCAGCCTGGCTCTGCCAAGGACATTGAGGAAGGGCATGTCAGGCCAGAGAGCCCTGGTGACCCAGTGGGACCTTTGTTGGCATTAGGGCCTGTTACCGTAGTGACAAGCAGACTGCTTGGCCTAGCCTGCTGGGCCCTGACCACTGTGCTTCCCACCTCAAGGGACTAGTCTGGTTTTGCAGAGCAGAACTAGATGACCTCCAGCCACCAGCAGGCCCAAGCTCCGTGCATGTCCCTCCAGCCTGAAATCTGGAGGAGAGGTCACTGGCCAGGCAGGAGGCTGGGCCTGGGACTCCAGGCTGGGAGCACATTTTCCACTGGCCCGAAGGCTTGCAGCTGCCCCAGCACCTCCTGAAAGGGCAGGCATCCTCAGCTGAATAGGATCCACCTTCCTGGATGCTGTGGGGGCTCTGAGCCCTGTGTGGACACTGCTGGGAGCAGATGGGAGCCACAGACCACCATGGGGGCACTGAGCTGAGCCTGGGCCTGTCTGTCAGGAGCAAGTGTGTGCCTGGGACCCCACGATCCTTGAGAGCCAGCTGGTCCCAGCCACTGGAGGGCTCTCCCTGGTGACAAGCGGGACAGGTCTATTTTCTCCATTGTTACAGCTTTGGTCTGTTTTTTAGGGAGCACCCTGCTTCTAGGGAGGGGAGAAATGTAGGGTGAGCCTAGAGGTCCAGGATTAGAAGCGGGGGCAGTAGGGTTCACCCAACTCAAGATGGCAGAGGAGGACAGCTCCACCAGCCCAGGGCTCTCCAGGCACACAGATGCCCTGCCCCTCGCCTTACAGTGCTACAACACATTCCTGCCTCCATGGCTCTCCTGAGGTCTGCTGGCACAGAACCTGAGCCTGCTGGGGGACAGGTGAGGTCCTGGGGTCTCTGGGAAACAGGGCGCCAAGATAGACTGAGGAGCAGCCCCAGGACACAGGCCCAATGGGACTCCCCCTAAATTCTGCATCAAGCCAACACAGCCCCCTCACCCTCCTGGCAGCCAGGCTCAATCCCAGCCTCCTCTGCCCTCTGAGCAGTTGGTGTGGGAACAGAATCTGGGGAATCCACTGGGGCATGAGTGGGTGCAGTCAGCCGCGGCCCCTTCCTCCTGAGCCTACATTGACCCTTCCTGCCTGCTGACCTCACCCAGCCTGGCCCACAGGGAGAATGGACCCAGTGTATCCCGTACGGGGCTGTGCCAAGCAGCCCACAACAAAGGAGCCTTTGGTGTGCCTGGTGCTGGGATGCCAGCCCTTGAAGGGTGGGGGCGGGCTGCTCCGGGGCCGTCCCAGGCCTCCTACCCCAGCCACACTGCCTGGCTGGTGCTGCCCGTGTGGCAGGTCCAGCTCCAAGCCCTGCTATCTCTAGCCTGGCTTGGCCCCGTGGCTCCAGCACCTTCTTCCCCAGGCCAACCAGAGAGATGCCTGGGTGCAACTTGCAGATCCATGGCTCTCTTGGGCATTGGCCATCCCTGCTCCCGAGACAGCCCAGCTCCTGATGGTGGCCCCCAAGTGTGACTCCGCTTTGGGGGGCTGGCTTGCCCTCCCTGGCTGGAGCGGGGGACTTGGGAGCTCCTCAGGACAGTTGAGCCAGGGAGAAGGCTGGAGAGCGGGAGGGGCTGATGGGTCCTGAGCCCCCTGCCCTGTTACAGTGCAGCTCCTCAAGTCCACAGACCTGGGCCGGCACAGCCTGCTGTACCTGAAGGAGATCGGGCACGGCTGGTTCGGGAAGGTGAGTGTGCTGCCTGGTGGCAGGAGTGGGCAGCAGCCTTGTGTGTGGTGGGGGGAGCAGCACACTGCTCCTGGCTCCCTCTGGACCCCTCTTCCTCCCTGTGGACATGCAGAGAGAGCCAGGAGAGCCTAGGGGTAGACGCATGCTCACGGTATTCCAGCCAGAAGGATCTAGAACCCATTCTGCAAGTGGTGAACCGACACAGGAAGGAAGTAGCTTATCCTGGGGGTGGGGAAAAGGAATGAGGCCGGAGGGTGGCCTGGGTGACACCTGTCCCTGCAGGTGTTCCTGGGAGAGGTGCACTCGGGTGTCAGCAGCACCCAGGTGGTGGTGAAGGAACTGAAGGTGAGCGCCAGTGTGCAAGAGCAGATGCAGTTCTTGGAGGAGGCACAGCCCTACAGGTGGGTGGCACCTGGGGACAGGCAGCTGGAGGGGCAGGGATCAATGGGTCAGGACCCCTGAGACAAAGGCAGGCTCTGTGCCGCCTGTACCACCTTGCAAGTCAGGACAATCCGTGACTCTTGCAGGGCCCTGCAGCACAGCAGTCTGCTCCAGTGCCTGGCGCAGTGTGCCGAGGTGACGCCCTATCTGCTGGTGATGGAGTTCTGCCCGCTGGTGAGTAGCTGTTGGGGAGAAAGGGCTGCCCCTCCCGCTCCAGGCCCTTTCTGAGCTGCCGCCCAGATGGGCTGGTGAGGGCCTCTGCTGAGTTGGGGTCCTCCATGCCTCGCCTGTAGGCAGTACCATCCCGGTACCTCACATCTCCCCTAAGGTGAAGTCTCAGGAACCCTGCCCTGTGCCTTCCAGAGGAGGCCTGTGCAGAAGGGGGACCCAGCAACACCAGCGATGGCTCTGAGGGCTCGGGCAGCATGAGCCTGGTGCTGGGACAACCCTGTGACCCCCAGGGGTGTCTCACTGCCTGGCTCCCCAGCAGACTGGATGGTGGTTTAGCCCAGGGCATCCCAGGCAGCACCACAGCCTCAGTTTTAATCATGGCTAGGGCCCGGCCACTTCCCCAAGGCAGACTTGGAACCCTGTGCCTGCAGCCTGCTGCCCAGACTCGCTGTGCACACACACAGCTCCAGCACTGGCTCGGACTGAGGCCGCCCTGCAGGACACAGGCTCCCAGTATAAGGTCTGGACTCCGGGCTGGGTTGTCAGCAGCTGCAGCTGCCAGCCCCTCCTCTGGCTTCCTTTCTGGATCACGTGGCAGCAAGCAGGTCCACGTGGACTTGTGTTCTTGTGTGTTCAAGGGGACATGGTGCTACAGACCCCAAACGGCTGGCCGGCAGGTCCATTAGCGAAGGCGTCTGGGAAGGGCCCTGCCTGTGGGTCACACGGCCCCTCCCCAGCTCTGCAGGTAGCTGCTGCCCACAGGTCATTAGCCAGTCACATTCCCACTCAGCCCCAGCACGGGTAGGGCACAAGACAAGGCACGGTGGAGGCCCCTAGGGCAGGGCAGCAGACAGTGGGCGCTCCCCAACTGGGAGGTAACATTCGCTCCCTCTGCAGGGGGACCTCAAAGGTTACTTGCGGAGCTGCCGGGTGACAGAGTCCATGGCGCCTGACCCCCTGACCTTACAGCGAATGGCCTGCGAGGTGGCCTGCGGTGTCCTCCACCTGCACCGAAACAACTACGTGCACAGGTGAGGGGCAGGCTGGGCCCCCTGGGCAGGTCCTCTCTGCGACCTGTGGTGGGTGGTGGTGCCAGTCCGTGGGGCCTGGTGAGGGCGAACCAGGTTATCTACACGGCATGGGCAGCCGTGCTACAAGGAGTCTCACTAGTGAAGGCACTTGGCAGCCCCACAGCAGCCCCTCTGGTCTCTCTCAGGACGCAGAGGGAAGGTCAGCTGGCCCTGCAGGGGAGGGACAGATGGGCCAGGACGCCCAGCCCTGGGAAGCCTGGGGGACGTGCTGGAAGAAATAGTGATGGACGAGTGGCCCCGCCAGCCCCGGATGCCGCACGGGCCGTCCTCCCCAACAATATCCTGGTGCTGAGTGGTGACACAGGCAACTCCAGCATCAGTGATTTTGTTGAAGAGGGCAGCTGCCAGCCTCCTGACCTGCCTCCCGCACCCCTGCCCCAGTTGCCACAGGCTCAGGCACACGTCTGTGGCCTGGGACACTTGCCCACAGCTGTCCCCTGGGATGCACACATAGGCCTTGGGGAGTAGAGATGGGCTGGGTACTCTGTCCCCAACCTGAGTCCTCTGCAACAGCAATATGGCAGGTGTGGCACACACTATAGTGCCCTGTGCCCCCAACAACCACGTGGCCGCCGGCCAGGTGGAAGGGTTAGAGCCAGCACCAGGGCTGGCTGCCAGTTGGAAGTAGTCCTGGGGCAACCTGCATGCCCTGCCTGGGGATGCTCCACGCTCACCCTGCTCCGGGGCCTCAGCTCCACCTCTGCCTGGCAGGGCAGGGCCAGGTCTTGGACTATGGGCTCTAGCCATGGATGGGAACCCCTGGTACACTCCCAGGCCTCAGTGTCTCCATTGATTGCTGCCTCAGGGTCCTGGGAGGAGGGGAGATGGCCTTGAAGACTGCAGACACACAGGGAGTGGTGTGAGAGCCCCCTGGGTAGGTCAGCAGACCGGTGTCCCAGGAGGGTGGGAGCTGGGCAGTATCTTCAGGGGGCCCATGGGTGTGGACCTCTTTGGGCCATTGCATTGTCACGTTTGAGGCCCTGTCCACATGGGCCTTCCAAAGTGCCCAGGGTAGGGCAGCCACTCAGACACCGCTTCCTGTCTGCCTGCTGTGAAAAGCCCAGGATCCCTCTGGGGGAGGAGCCATTCTGTTGTGGGCCAAAGCCCCAGCTAACCCTGCCTTCCACCCTGCAGCGACCTGGCCCTGCGGAACTGCCTGCTGACAGCAGACCTGACAGTGAAGATTGGTGACTATGGCCTGTCCCACTGCAAATATCGGGTAAGTAGGGGGTTTGGGCCTGTGGAGTGGGGCTGCTACACACGGGGTCCAACCCTACCCTGTGGGCCTGCAGGAAGACTACTTCGTGACTGCTGACCAGCTGTGGGTGCCCCTGCGCTGGATTGCACCTGAGCTGGTAGACGAGGTACATGGGAACCTGCTGGTGGTGGACCAGACCAAGAGCAGCAATGTGTGGTGAGCAACCGTGTAGTGGGCACGTGAGCCTCTAGCTTGCAGGCTCAGGGTCACCAGGCTGCTGCCCCGCCCATCCCATCAGGAAAGGCCAAGTGTGCCTAATGTGCTCATGTCTGCAGCACTTTGGCCTCATGAGGTTGTGGGCTACTGGTGCATCCCACAGCAGCTGGGGACCCTGAGCTGGTGGAGGGACGCCTGGATGGTCAGAATGCTGTGTCTCCCAGGACCTACTGGGCCGACACCCAGTGGTGTCAGGGCTGAAGCACACGTTGAGGTTCCAAAGCCGTGAGAGGCAGCAGGGGGTTGTACGCCCTTATAAGATGTGGGGCCTTGACTGGCATCTGTGCCTGTGGAGAGTCTGGGGAACTCAGGGGAGGGAGGAACAAACAGGGAGGAAGTGCTGGGATCTCCCAGAACTTTAGCCTGAAGGCCTCCATCCTGACCCCAGCACCAAGCTGGGCACAGAGCAGCTGTTCTTTCTGATCTGGCTCTGCAGTCTTCAGAGGGATGGGGCTGAGCTGCCTTGGGGGCTCTCACAGGTGTTGGGGTGTCTCCTGCCATGGGGTGCCTGTTCCTAGGCAATCTCTGCCTTCCCCTGCTCCATCCCATTCCTGTGAGCATCAGCCTGTACACATAGGACAGCCCTCCTGACCATGGGGTGGGGGTGGGGCCTTTAACCATGCCCTGTCACTGACACTCCACCACCTGCTTGTGACCCCCACTGAGCCCCTTCTTGGTACACCCACCCTCAGAACCTGGCTGGGGCCCCATCCCAGGACTCTGTCCGGCTCTGTCCTACCTCCCAGGGCCATAGGAGCCAGGGGAAGCCACCACTCGCTGGAAGGGACCTCCAGCTGCTTTCTTTCAGCCCTTCTCACTGCCTGGGGTTCCAGGCTTGCTCCTCCTTGAGGCTCTTGGACTAGGCCTTGCCTGGTTCCAGGCTTCCTTTCACCTGGCATAGTGTCTGCAGTGTGACCAGTGAATGAGTGAGTGGACAGTACCACGGATGTGACTTTGTGCAAGGCCAGACTGCCTTTGACTTGCCAGGCACCCGAGTGTTGGGCTCGGGCCTGGCTGGGGTGGAAGGTCTGTCCTTGGGGAGGGGAGCTGGTGTGTACTGAGCTCTAGGCTCAGAGTGGCTGGCCCAGGGGTGTCCTGTGTGGTCCAGCCAGCCCTGTCTCATAGCAGTCACCCCTGCAGGTCCCTGGGCGTGACCATCTGGGAGCTCTTCGAGCTGGGTGCACAGCCCTACCCTCAACACTCAGACCGACAGGTGCTGGCGTACGCTGTCCGGGAGCAGCAGCTCAAGCTGCCCAAGCCCCAGCTACAGCTGAGCTTGTCTGATCGCTGGTAAGGATCCCACCATTTGGGCACAGGAAAACTGAGAGAGTGAGGGTGCTCCAAGTCTGCAGGGACAGGTAGCTTAAGGTGATCACCTGGACTGCAGCTGTCCTGTCCCTCCTGACCACCATAATCAGGGAAGGGGATCCCAGGCAGTGTCCCCTTCCCTCACCCCTGCACCCAGACTCCTGGGGTCTCAGGATGAAGGTGTTGAGGAAGGAGATTTCCCCAGCAGCCCTGGGGGCATTTGGGGTTAAGGGGAGCCAGCTCCCGCGTAGAGGTCGGTGTCCCACGCTCCTGGGGTTCAAGGCCAGCCTGCCTCTGGATGGGTTGGGGCCACCCATGGGGACCTCCTGGCAGGTACGAAGTGATGCAGTTCTGCTGGCTGCAGCCGGAGCAGCGGCCCACAGCTGAAGAGGTGCACCTGCTGCTGTCCTACCTGTGTGCCAAGGGCGCCACCGAGGTGGAAGAGGAGTTCGAGCGACGCTGGCGCTCGCTGCGGCCAGGCAGGGGCGGCCTGGGGTCTGGACAGGGTGCAGTGGGTCCGACTGCCAGCGCTGCAGCTGACTTGGCTGCTGCCTCCTCCTTTCCACTGCTGGAGCAGTTCACGGGCGACGGCTTCCACAGCGACGGGGACGACGTGCTCACAGTGACGGAGACAAGCCAAGGCCTCAACTTCGAGTACAAGTGGGAGGCGGGACGCGGCGCGGAAGCCTTCCCCCCCAGCCCCGGCAGTGTGCGCCTGCAGGAGCTGTGCGCCCCAGACGGTGACGTTGCGCCGCTGGGCGTGGTGCAGGTGCTCAGCGCGCACAGCCCCTCACTCGGCAGCGAATATTTCATCCGCCTGGAAGAAGCTGCGCCGGCCACGGGCCACGACCCCGACTGCGCCGACTGCACCCCCAGTCCCCATGCTCCCGCCGACCAAGACGACGACGACGACGAGGATGACGACTCGGATGGCAGTGCCTCTGCCTCGCTGGCCATGGAGCCGCTGTTGGGCCACGCGGTACCCGCTGAAGGTCCCTGGGGCTGTCGTGACCACCATCTGCACAGGAGTCGCGCCCAGGACTCGCCTTGTCCTTCCCGCTCACCCTCGCCCGGCACCGGGGACACAGACTGGGGAGAGGCCGCCTTCTGCCCACCCTTTTTTGAGGACCCACTGGGCGTGTCTCCTTCTTCCTGCTCAGGGGCTCTGCTCGCGGAGGAGGAGCTGGGGGAGGCACAAAAGGGTGCCCAGCGTGCCCACTGGAGCTCCAACATGTCAGCCAACAACAACAGTGCCAGCCGTGACCCCGAGTCCTGGGACCTTGGTTACGTGGGCAGCTACACAGACAGCTACATGGATGACTGCCCCAGCCCACTGCAGGCCCCACGGGTCTCCCCGGACTTGGGCCACCCCCTGGCCCAGGAGGGCTCCAAAGAGCCTCTGCTTGGGCCACAGTCAGTCTGTCTTGGCCTGGAACCAGGCCACTGCCTCAACCTTCCCCATGTGGGCTCTTCCCAGGGCCTGGCACCTGCTCCCTGCCAGGCAGTGTCCCCCTGGACGAGGGAAGCCGTAAGTGGGGGTGACAACCCCCAAGCAGAACCCAACCTTGCCCAGGAAGCTGAGGACTCTGTTGGACCCCACCTCTCCCTCCCTTCTGTCCCTTCCCCATCCCACGAGGGCGCTCCTTTTCCCTCGGAGGAGGCCGGCGCCCCTGACACCCTTCCAGCCTCTCCCACACCCGCTGCTGGCAGCCAGGAGACAGTCCCAGAGCTGGTGTCGACCCTCTGCAGCAGCATCAGCCCCCCTGAGGTGGAGGAACCCAGCAGTGAGGATGAGGACATAACGGAGGCCACTTCGGGCATCTTCACTGACATGTCCAGCGACTGCCCTCAGGCAGAGAAACCAGATGTAGTGCCAGCCTTACGCTCTCTGCAAAAGCAGGTGGGGACGCCTGACTCCCTGGACTCCTTGGACATCCCATCCTCAGCCAGTGATGGCGGCTGTGAAGTCTCCAGCCCCTCCACTGCTGGTCCCCTTGGTGGGCAGCCCCGTGCACTGGACAGTGGCTATGACACAGAGAACAATGAGTCCCCTGAGTTTGTGCTCAAGGAGGCCCACGAGGCCAGTGAGCCCAGGGAACTGGCATCAGAGGAGGATAGCCCAGGGCTGGAGACCCAGCTCTCAACCTCCCTGGGGGGCCTCAATGAGAAGAACCCCTATAGGGACTCCGCCTACTTCTCAGACCTGGACGCCGAGTCCGAGTCCGCCCTAGGCCCTGAGAAGAGCAGTCCGGTCCAAGTCTCCGGGCAGAGCCCTGGGCTGCAGCCGGTGCAGACCTCACCTATGCTCGGGGTGCTGGGGGAGGTACCCAGCGCTGGTCACAGGGAGGTGCTACCGCCACTGCTAGGGCCCCAGGAGCCTCTCCCAGAGCCGAGCGCCTGTAACCCCAGCCCCCGGCCAGAGCCTCTTGCATCCCTAGACCCAGCTGAGGGCCAGCCTGAGTCCAGCTTGGGTTCCTCCAAGTTCTTCCTGCTGACCCCTGTCCCGCGGAGCCCGGGAGGTGATGGCACGGAGCTCCAGGGGCCCTCAGGACTGCTGTTGGGGCGGACAGGGAGCCCAGGCACCCCCAGAGCCCCACTCTGCCTGGCTCTGCCTGGACATCCTGGGCCCTTGGAGGGCCGGCCAGAGGAGGAAGAGGAGGACAGTGAGGACAGTGACGAGTCGGATGAGGAACTCCGCTGCTACAGCATCCAGGAACCCAGTGAGGACAGCGAGGAGGAGTCGCCCGCGGTGCCTGTGGTGGTGGCCGAGAGCCAAAGCGCGCGCAACCTACGCAGCCTGCTCAAGATGCCCAGTCTGCTGTCTGAGGCTTTCTGCGAGGAGCTGGACCGGAAGAAGAAGGCTGTATCCTTCTTCGATGACGTCACCGTCTACCTCTTCGACCAGGTGGGCGGGCCGCTCCCGCTGGTTTGGGCTTGGGGTGCGCGCGCGCGTGCGCGTGAGTACGTGCGTGGTGCGTGCGTGCGTACACGGAGTGCGGGTGTGGAGGGGCGGTAGTGGGTGGTCGAGCCAGGTGTGCTCTGACCCCTGCAGGAGAGCCCCACCCGGGAGCTCCGGGAGCCCTTCCCCGGAGGGAAGGAGGCGCC